TAAATGGCGTAACTTAAATAATAATGGTAATGGCGCAGATGATAATGCTACAAACTCTTCTCGTGTAGGACAAAGTATTAAAAAACAGGCATCTAATGTGCAAAAAAGAAAATATGATGAGTCTTTTCTTCAATTTGGCTTTACATTTCAAAATTGTAACTGTAATGAACAACCTCTTTGTTTGATCTGCAATGAATTATTGGCTTCGGAGAGTATGAAACCATCAAAATTAAAAAGATGTCATAAAACAAAGCATGTTTCGTTTAAATCTTTAAATAAAGAAAAGAAAATATTTTCTTTTATATATAATGGCAGCAAATACCTGCTGCTATTAAAACGGTAGAAATACTACATGGAAGAAAATATGGCGATGGTATTCGAAAAATTCCCTAGTCGAACGACACTGTCTCGAATAGAATTTCTGATATTAACAAGGATCAATTAGGACAAATTATTACAAGAATTAAATAAAGCCCAAAATTTTTGATTCAGTTGAACGAAACAACTGATGTTACTAAATCGGCTCAATTGTTAGTATATCTCAGGTACGTTTATAAAGAAAGCGTGAAGGGAGAATTCTTATTTTGCCATCTTATGGAAGACCATACTACAGAGAAATACATATATTGTAGAGTTGACGAATTTTTAAAAGCAGAAGGTTTAGAATGGAAAAATATGCACACATGGTGCAAGAGCGATGACGAGCAAAAATATTGGTTTTCAATCATTTTTTCAAGCTATTCATTATGATCATATAACTCTTACTCACTGCCTTATTGACCGATTGCTATTAAGTTCATAAATTTTATTAAGAGCAATTCCCTTAACAGCTTATTTTCAAATCTCTGTAATGATATGGATTCCAACTACACAACTTTGTCATTACATTCAGAAGTAAGATGGTTGCCAAGAGGTCAAAGTTTAAGAATATTATTTATATTAAAGGAAGATCGAAATAGTTTTAGCCGAACGAAAATGTGAACTTGCTGCTTCTTTTTTCAAAATGACTTAGTTAAACAATCTCAACTTATATCCTCAAGGAAAAGAGAAAGACTTCTTAATAAAATTGAAAGTTTTATTAAGAAGATCAACATTTGGAAAAGTAGGGTCGAAAAAAATTCGTTCGAAATGTTTTCCAGTGTCGACAATTTTATAATCGAGAAAATTTATTGTAAAACTTTTATTGCAAAAATTATTGTAGATCACTTAAAACCGCTAGAAATACAGTTCCGCACATATTTTATATTAAATATTGATTTCCAAAAAATTGTTTGGATTTAAAAGCCGTTTTGGATTGGCTTAAGTGAGTTTGATCACCTGCCACTTAAAGCTCAAGAGGAATTTGCAAAGCTTTCGAGTGACTCAAACTTCAAACTACAATTTCAAAAAAAGCCCTTGACTGAATTCTGGATCGGAACTAGAACTGAATCTTCCACAATCGCTGATATGGCGTTCGATGTACTTCTGCCATTCAACACCACATATTTATGTGAAGTTACTTTCTCAGCTTTAACACAAAAGTCCCAATATCGTTCAGCGCTAAAAAATGTTGAAGAGGTCTTACGTTCAGCAGTTTCAAACATTCCACCAAGATTTAATTTTGTTATGCAATAAAAAACAGGCACATACATCTCAATAAATTTTTTACTTATATTTTAATTTAATAGTTACCACTCAACTAATTGAATATATTCCAGCGAATTAAGACGGTCAGAATCCACTTTTATTTTTGAGACTATAATAAATATAATTTTATAATTTTTTGTGCAATTTTTTATTTTAGATTTTTGTATGTTTAAAAAGGAATTCTAAATGTTACTTAATAAATAAATCATCAAAAAATATTAATTTACTTTTCTTTTATATTTGTATGGGGTCGTCAAGAAACTCGCAATCATAAATGGGGTCGTGAATGACAAAAGTTTAAGGAGCCCTGCTCTAAATGAAAAAAAATTAATTGGAAGAATTTAATTTCATTTTAAAACATATTTTTTAATTTCGAAAAACTTTTCTTAATAATAATTTTCAATATTGTGAAATATAACACTACTTTACTCTTGAGCGAAATTTAATTTTTTTTACAAACCTCGTATAATATTGATAAAATGTCTGATGGTTGCATCTTAGGTTTGGACTATGCAGAGCTTTTTATAAAGAATGACTTTTTTCGTAAAATTATTAATAAAAAAGTCTTCCATTTGGTTCAAAGTTACGCAGACACACTGTATACCTATCATATTTCGCATAAACCGGAATCAATTATGACTAAAAGAAACACGATATAAGTGGTTGATCTGAAGATATACTAAACTCACTTATGATATGACCTAGTACTATTTCTCCATTTGGATTTGCAGAATCCTTATATAGACAAAGGTAACAGCTTAAGAAGATCTTCCGCAATACTTCTTGCATAATGTAAGTAGAACTTAAACGACGGTGTAAATATAGTAGAACTTAAAAGACACGTAAACGATAAATTTGTCGAATGATGACCGAATATGTAGAAAAAGTACTTATAGACTCAATGTTGCAAAACCATCATCATCATCATCTTTGGCTCGACAATCCTCTGTGGATCTTGGCCTGCTCTAAGATTCGTCGCCATTCTGTTCGGTTTTTGGCAACATGTTGCCATCTTCTGATTTTTAATATTCGTAAGTCGGTTTCTACTCCATCTAACCACCTAATTCGCGGTCGGCCTTTGCTTCTTGTTCCTACAGGTGTTCCTGTGGTTAGCTTTTTAGCAATGGTATTTTCTGGCATTCGTATTATGTGTCCAGCCCATCTAAGTCGCTGTGTTTTAATGAACGTTATGACATCTGGCTCATCAAAGAGCTGATACAATTCAAAATTATATCTTCTGTGCCACTGCCCTTGGTCGTTTACAGCTCCAAATATTTTGCGGAGTATTTTACGCTCAAATATTCCCAAAAGTCTTTCATCTTTCTGCGTTAATGTCCATGTTTCTGCTCCATATGTGAGGACCGGCCTCAGCAATGTTTTGTATATAATAATTTTAGTTCTTCTTTGAATGTTTCTTGAGTGGAAATGCTTTTGGAGTCCATAGTATGCTCTATTTGTAAGATTTATTCGTCTTTTGATTTCTTCGCTTGTTTTATTGGTAGCAGTCAATAGCGACCCAAGGTATGTGAAGTTGTCAACACGTTCAAAGGTATGACTTCCAAAGACTGTTTCTCGTTCCTCATTTGCTATCGGATCCTTTGTAACCAACATGTACTTGGTTTTGTCTTCGTTGATGACTAGACCGACCTGTTTCGCCGCTGTTTCCAATTCTAGGAGATATTGCTCAACATCTCGCTTGCTACGCCCTATTATGTCAATGTCATCAGCATATGCTAAGACTTGTATCGATCTATTGTAAATAGTACCGCCGTCCCTAATTCGTGTATCTCGGACTGCCTTTTCTAAGGCAATATTAAATAGGAGGCAAGCCAGAGCATCTCCTTGTCTGAGTCCATCCTTTATCTCAAAGGATCTAGAACTCTCTCCCTGTAGTCTAACAGTGGCTTCTAAGTTAGACATTGTCATTCTCGTTAGTCGGATAAGTTTCTCTGGTATACCAAACTCATGCATTGATTGGTATAGCACTGTTCTCTTGACACTGTCATATGCTGCCTTGAAGTCGACGAATAGGTGATGGGTTTCAATATTGAATTCTAATGTTTTCTCGAGAATCTGTCTTATTGAATGAATCTGGTCAATTGTTGATTTTTCTGGAGTGAATCCAACTTGATATTTACCAACTATGCCCACTGTGTAAACTTGCAACCTTTCGTAGAGAATATTTGCTAGTATTTTGTAAGCAGTTGTTAACAGGGTTATACCTCTATAGTTGTCACACTGGAGCTGGTCACCTTTTTTATGTAACGGGCATATCACGCCTTGAGACCATTCACAAGGCATGGTCTCATTATGCCAAACAAGAAGTAAAAGCTTATGCAGTGTCTGTAGTAGGGCATCGCCACCATTCTTGTAGAGCTCACTGCAAATTTGATCAACTCCTGGTGATTTATTATTTTTAAGCTTTTTAATGGCTTGGGCAACGTTTTCGATGGTAGGTGGTCTTTCGTTTGGGTTGAAAGGATTCCAATCATTTCGATTTGCTAGGGTGTTATCTGCTTCTTCGATATGATGGCCATTAAATTTTGCATAAAAAAATTCAACCCATCTGTTTAGGATTGAGGCCGTATCATTTAGGATGTTTCCTTCTACATCCTTACAGCTCCTTATTCTTGGCTTAAACTCTTTGCGCATTTTGTTTAGATGTCTGTAGAACTTTCGAGTTTCATTTTGATTTCTTAGAAATTCTGTGCTTTCCAATTGCTTTTGCTCAAATTGTCTTTTTTTTCTTCTATGTAATCGTTTTTCTTCTCTTCTTAGTGTCCGGTATTCTTCCTTTGCTCTTCTTGTGCATCCAGCTTGATTTGTCTTTAGGTATGCCCTGTTTTTGTTATCTGTTGCTTCTTGGCACTCCTTGTCAAACCATTCGTTTTCTTTAATTGGTTTGGTTTTCCCCAATATTTTTGTTGCTTTCTCAGTTATGTCATTTATATTTCTCAGAAATATCTTTCTAAATATGGTTGCAAAAACATATTTTGGCTTAAAGAAATTGACGATATTTAAATGCCATTCAGGTAGAACATGCATACAGACATCACTACAACAATTATTAATATGTAGAAGGCTTACCTTTTAGAAGAACTAGGTAAGTGATGTACGAAGAAAAATACAGAAAGTGGGAGTACAAATAAGAAAATCAAAACAAAAATAATGACAAACCGCGAAGATATAAAACAAATAAAAGTCGGATAAAAAATACAAAATACGTTTATGTAGGACAAAAACTTATCACTATATGAGACATTATAATCAGAGGGAATCGATTACCTGCTGTGATGTACGCTTAAAGGTATTTTTGATAAATTTATAATACATAAAAGATAAACATTGAATTATTTATAAAATTGTATACATACTTCACGTGTGTGATCCGTTGGAGATAAGGTCTCCCTCATGGAGAGGGACATCAATAATTCCTGAGTTAATCTTTGCTTTCCAAAAGCCACAGCTCCACTTGTCACCATAATACATTCTCGTCCCTCATTCTGACATTCTGCAACCTTAAACATCATATTATGTAAACAACTATGATAATTTAACAATATATAATTAGATATTCCCCGTAAAGCTGCAGCAGATATTTTTAAGTAAACTTTATTATATAGAAAGCCTCCTATTTTGGCTACATCTCAAAAGCAGCCACCGTTCCTAATGTTGTTTTGACAATTCAAAATTACCCTTATGACGAATTCTTTAGTAAGGGATGAGTTGTTAATAGTAAAATGACTTTACAAGAGAAATCTAGACTTCCCTTATAATGAATTTTACGAACAAAGATATTATGGTTGTCCGTTATGTTTAACGCATCAAGTTTTTAATGCTTCTATGAAGCATATTAATAACTTCCTTGAGAGATTCTGTGGTGGGTATTTAATGATGTTTGGTAATAAATTCACTGTAAGAATACGATATTCCGTAGGTCCTGTCAATAAAATAAAAAACGTTGTTGAGCAGCGCTGATTGACACAAAAGAGCAGTTAAATGTTATACATAAAAATTTATTTCTGGTATATCCTGTTAAAAAGCTGTTCTTAAAAATACCCCACTTCTTTACTGAAAGTCACCTCTTTAGTCAAAAATAACACTTGTACAAAGATAATCAAAACGCTGAGTCCTTTAAAATTTAAAATTAATATTCAAAATAATTCGGAAACTCGAAAATCTATAAACCTTAAAAAATCAATTGGCAATAATAAGCATCTTTAGGACCCTTTTAAAGTTACAACCAATGTGGACCTACTGATTGCAGACATGCACCCTATACGAGTATACATTATAATATCTGAAAGGCCGCTGAAAAAATAGTTGTATAGTAACAAAACTAAAAACTAGCCTTCAGTTTTTACCACCAGTATGGAATAAGTTAGAAATTATAACATCAATGGGTTTGACAGAATATATTGACACAGAAGAACCACCCAACAACACACAGTTATCTCAACAAACATTATAAAAATAACAACGTTCATATTGATATAAAGCACCTAAATGGAAAGAACGGTATATTTTCTCTACACCGGTCCCTCCAAATGCAAAATTTTATATCGGAACTTCATTCTTCAAAACCCAGCCACAGAACATGACAGCATACCTTGTATGTAGGCTTTAAAGCTTACAAAGAGCTCACAGGATTGTGAAAGACATAATTATATGTAAGGAAATAACAGCTAGTGTTGGGTTTTTTTAATCTAAAATAATAACCTTTAAAATGGGGGGTTTTAAAAGTTTATCACACGTAGGACAGCTGAGTTATACTTGTATCGAATCAAAGTGTACTAAATGCTGTTTTGTAAATTTTTTTAAAAGGAACAATTTTTATTTTGGTAAAATTAAATATCTCCAATATTTTAGGAGATAAAATCATTCAAACAATATAATTGTCAATAACAAATTATCTTATTCAGCCTGGTACCCTTGAAAAATCGAATCTACGCACCGAAAAATATAAAGAAACATCAAGATATCTAGGCGACATAAAAGTGCATACTCAACACCCCCTGGCGCCTAGAGTAAGTGAGTGGAAATAAACAAAACAATATTGTGAATGGTGTATTCATGTATAACAATAACTAATATTATTAAAAAGAAAAAGCACAGGAAATTATTACGAATAAAAAATAATAAATTTAGATGACAAGCTAACTGATGAAGGGAAACGGAGAAGAGAGGAGGATAAATACTACAGCAAAAAATAAAAAAAAAAATATTGATCACACCGAAAAAAAGAGATAAAGAAAATACAAGTGAAATGCACCAAATAATAAAAATAATTAAGAAATTAACAATGGATATAAAAGACATAAAAAAGAACAATATAGATCAAACAACTAAAGAAGGAAATTAAAAAAAAAATAAAGCAACTGCACAGATCAACAAAGGGACTAAAAACATGAAATAAAAAAAGCTGCATAAAACAAACGAAAAACTGCACAAAACAAACGAAAACAAATGCGTCAATTAGACAAGATCACAGCAAAAGGAAAAATAGGGAAATTAGAGGGAGAAATAAAGAGAAAAAATATAATAATACAAGGATTAAAAATTAATACAAATGATCAAAAAGTTTTGCGAGAGAATATGGAGTATTTTATGGAAAAAGAACTACAATTATTAGTAGGAACAATACAATAGAACAAGGAAAATAGGGCAAAATACTGCCATAGTGTATATGACAATAGTGCCCAGTTCTTCCCTAACATCTTCATTTCTTATTTTGTCTCGTCGTGTTATTCCTTTGACTCAATGTTTATGAAATAACTAAAGAAAATAGTCATAATTCCTCTTATAGTGCCGTACACCTATAGTGCGTTGGCAAATTATCTTTGCCCGAAGTCTATCTTTTTACGGCATGTAAAAGTTCACCAGTGCTATTTATGCCTGTTCAGTTTTTTGTATATTTCGTCGCCACTACATTTGTTTGGATAATTAGTAAAGGGTTTGCGTATTTTTTTTCTCTCAGTATATGGTCCAGATATCCACTTTCTCGTACCTTGATCAACTTAAGTAATTCTCTCTCAGTAGTTACTCTTCTAAAGATTTTCTCGGTTCTCTATCTGTTCAAGATGTGCGGAACATTCTTCACGAGGTACACATTGCAAAGACCTCCAAGGCCTCCAACTTGCTCGATTCGGGCGTTATTTACTTGCAACTGTACTCCTAAAAGATCATTTTTTCTTATTTCCATGCATTTAGTTTTTCCAACATATATCTTTAAGCCAAAATATATTTTCTACGGTACTTATTTGATTTAGCCTCAACTGTTAGTCAAGCAAAAAGCAGCTTTACTTGTACGCAGTCCGCTTTTGAACCCAAATTGTGTCTCGCTAATTAGGTGTTTTCTGAACATTCTTGTGTGGAGGATGAAAAGAAATACTTTAAGCAAATGGCTCATTAAACTTATAAATCTGTAGTGTCTTTATTACTTTTTGTAATTTAGAGATCATTTTAAAGGTTTAATAAAGCCAATCCATTGGAATGTGTTCGGTGTTGCCTATGGCATCGAAAATTATTACCAGCATGTTGATAATGTTAACTTTCAATAGTTAAAAGTCTAGAGGCCTTTCCTAGTTTTGCTACTTTAATAGCATACTTTACATCGGTACAAATAACGGGAGGGCCAGATAAATTTTTCGTCGTAAGTTAGTAGTTGGCAGATTTGGTCTATTATCCATAACGAAGCATAATTTGTCCAGATTTTTGCTAGTTCTTCCTGGGTATGTACGTAGTCTCTTTAATCATTCTTTAATCGAGTATCAGTGTTTCTTGTATACAAATGAAATTTTTTTAACCTTTTTATGTAGTCCTGTTCTATCCCCCTTTTCATGTAGTGATTCCATTTCTTTATACCGTTCTTTCATTCAGCTTTTCTGTAAGATTTTAATTCTTGCCCTTATCGTACGTTTCTTGTATTTATGTTAATTCCAATATATTTTATACTGTCTCCGTAGTCTGCACGATTTCTCATGATGTTACTTAATATTTTGAGTTCTGTGGCCATGATAGCATTTCTTTGGCGGTTGTTCAGTGAGGAGTACAGAATAGCCATATATCCAATTATCAGTCTGATGTATGTTTTATAGATATGCAAGAGAGTCTTACTTTGTGTACTCCCAAATTTGTCTGATAGAGCTCCCAGGTATCTAATCATTCTTCTTACTCTGTTTAGAGTGAGATTTAGTTCAGTGTCTCTATAGAGGTTCCTCTGAAATTAAATTTCTAAATAGGAAACAAAACTTTGGAAGGGAAGTCTAGCTCCGTAGAGCTCTATCAGGTTGCCTCATCCTCAAATCGGAAAGTACCTGGATATCTGAAGAGGATGGCCTGTGTCTTGGTTGGATTGAGAGTGATTCTTCATTTGTTGTCCCCATTGACTATTTTATCGAGTTGATCTCGCAATCTGTTGAACACAGAGTAGTACCTCATCGTTCCGTCGAGAGTGCCTGAGGAAAGTAGTGTAGTATCGTCAGCGTAGAGAAGGGCAGTTTCATTTTAGTCTGTGGGACCAGGGATGTCGCTGTTTTATACTGTGTATAGGATTGGCGCAAAATTGAGCCCTGATGTATTCTAGCTAGTGGGGTACATGGTGTGGAGAATTTGTCAATGCTTTAAACTCTTATGGTTTACTTGGAAAGATATAAGTGGATTGTTTTAAGAAATGTGCTTGGCAGTCCAGAGTGGCGGAGTTTTTGATCGAACCTGATCAAAAGCCTTCTGCACGTCTGGGAACATGCCTATGGCTATTTTGCCTTTTTAATTGATTGATTGTGAGATGAAGGTTGCTGCTTCTGTCAATGTATTTTAAGAGAAGTGGTTAGCTCTAAATCCAAATTGAAATTTTGGGATAATATGATTTGCTTCTAGTAATCCTACGAGTCTCTCCTTAAGGATCCTCTCGTAGGGGTTTTTCTGGATTGGGAATCATGATTTTACTGGCCACTCTTGAAGGGATAGTACAATAACACAGTATGAGGCATGCATTGATAATGATGATAAACAGTGAGATTACATTCTCTGATAGTTTTTTTAAGACATCTTCTGTGTATGCCATTAGGACTAGGAGATGTGTTTTCATCAAAGTTACATATCTGCCTGACTGTTTCCGTCAACACAGGAGCCATAATTGGATGTTGGATATTATCGTCTCCGAAATGTTGTGGAGGGTTATAGAGTATATTTTCCACTCTCATTTCGAATTTGAACTAGTTTTTACAATTTGGAATATTTGGTGTGATAAAAGTTACCTGGAGTATGGTTTTCAAGGCTTTTGTTTTATCTAGAGGAGTAGATAAGAGAGCGTTGTATACAACGGGGTAAGAGTGAGGCCTTGATTTTTGCTTTGTTATAATTTTGAATTTCATCCAGAATTTTGTCCCGTCTCTGTGATCCAGATCAGAGGTAACTGAACTCCACTGTTATTGTTTTAACTTGTTAACCTTTTATCTTATGGAAGCTGAGAGACTGTTGTATTTAATTTTAATGTTTGGGTCTCGTAATCTTTTATACTCTTTGATTAATCTATGCTTTATATGGATTTTAGCGAGGATACGTTGTAGGAGCATTGGAGTATATGGATTTATTTTAATTATTGGAATGGCTAGAGAAGAAGCCTCGTGTAGAATACTTTTGACCTTTGAAATTCCTGTGTCAACTTGGTTGGTTGTTGACATAACACCTACCTGTGAAATGTTGTGATCGATGAATTTTTAAAAAGTTTCTAATTAGCTTTAGGATAAGTTCGTCTGTAAATAGCAGTAGCGAATTGTAGAGGGGTGTTAAAGTCGGTTTTAACTAATAGTGGTAAGTGGTCAAAGGTTATCGAGTATTCAGTATAGCCACTCATCATCGAACATATCCAGCACAATGTATGTACAGAGGATATGATCGACAACAGACGCCCCTTGATAACCGAAAAATGTGACTTCAGTGTTGATGATTCTTGAAATGAACAGCTCTAGAATTAGGTCTGAGAGTCTGCCTGGAAGATTAGTAGAAGTGTCACCGAATTGGACATGTCTACTATTGAGATCTCGCATTAGTACCGCCCTGTCGAGTGTAGTAAAGTACTCGATAAGTGGTTCGGAAAGGGGCTGATTCGGGTGTTTGTAATACAAGATTATCATAATATCCTGTTGAATAAAGGTACGTAGAATGTCATTTATATTGCTGGCGTCACCCCCAAGTGACCAGGGTGAACAGTTTTCACACAAGATCCGATAATCAGTGGCGACACCTCCAATTCGGGCCCATCACCATTTGTTTTAAAAGAGTTGATTCGAAACCTTGCTGGCTGGATCGCCATAGCGTCCCGGTGAGGTACGGAAATAAAGATAATGAGGCTCTAGACAAGAAAAAGTTAATAAAAAACCAATAAGGAAATACGACAATGTAATAAACAATTAAAAATGCAATAATTGAAATGAAAGTGTTATATCCGAAATACTAAAGCCAAACACATCAGCAATTCTGGAAAAAGATTGTTGATCAAATAGAAAATAATTTACATGGAAGATAAATTTTTACTTACAAAATAATAAAACAAATGAATAAAATAGGAAAAGATACCCCATGTAAAGGTTAATAATGAAAAATAATATAATGATAGTAATTCTAGCAGTTGTATAGAAGAGGATATAGAAGAAAAAATTTCATATGAAATCAACCATACAACAATACAATATCCATCAAAAGGATAACTTTGGTCACAACATTAAAGAATATAAAAGCTATACGACCAAATTAAACACACAAAAGTCATTCTAAGGCGTGAAAATTTCTTACTAGCCTGAAGAATGCTACATTTAATAAATTAATCAAAATACCTAAAATATGACAAACAATTGAGAAAGGTAGAAGTATCAGCCTCTTAAAAATATCTATACAATTTGCTATAAAATTATTAAAAATAGATTAAAAACATTATAAAAACCTTTATATAGGAAAAAAACAACACGGTTTTTAAAAACGCTGGTCTACTAACAACAATGTTTCCATTATAAAATAAAACAAATTATCGCAAAACAAAGGATATTTAACCTAAACGCGTATATTGGATATCAATTTATTAAACTGAAACTTACAATGAAGACTTTGCAACTAATAAATCAACGGATAAGCTAGCAGATAAAAGCTAAGGTTAGCTTCCTGTTTGTACAAGAAGATCATATACAGATGCACAATTCATCATAAAACAAATTATCAGTAAATTGTTAGAGTATAATAGATCGGCGTGGCGTTTCTATGCCTGAAAGATGATTGAAGCAATCAATAAAGCAATAATTAAAAGGAAAGGGGGTCCATTAAGCTATTTTCTTTTTAATTTAATCATGAATGAATTTATCAAACGGATTAACAAAAGAAGGGGATATAGAACTGGAATTAGAGCAGTTAAAATACTTCATTCTGTGCTGTAGAAGACACAATAATAATAGTCTAAGATGAACATGGTCTACAAAGAGTAGCCCACAGATTCAGCACAAGAAAAAAACATTAAACAGTCAACTTGCGGAAACTTTCTCATTTTAAGCAAAAAAACAACATAAAGATCCCAAATGACAAACTACTAAAGAGCCAACTAAACGTACATTAAAGGACGATGGTGAAAGTATTGAACAAATAATGGAGGTAAAATGCCTTATTTTTACACTATTTACGTATGGAGACATAAACAGGGAAGTGGGAGATCTAGTACCAAAAACTAATAGACAAGCAGAATACCTTAATAATAGTATATGGCGAAACTGACAATAAGTAGGTTTGAAATTTTGTTATACTGTTCTATAAATCAGTGTGAAAATGAATACTAAAATGAAAAAAATTAAATAACAACTTTTACTATCAGCAAGAACTTGTGGTACCTAGCTCAAATTAAAATCAAATTTTTAGCAATATGGCTCTGTTATAGTAACATAAAATGCCTAGGTAAGCTAATAAAGACCTCTACATAAAGCAACAAGGAGTGATGAGAATTTTTTTCGATGACGATTATGTGGAGTGCGTATCCAAGCTAAATGGGCGAAAGACTTGTGGTAGCTCGAATTTAAATAAAATGCTGTAATGCTGTTTATCTATATGGCTGTTATAGTAACATAACATGTCTAAGTACACTAGTACCGACCTGTATATGAAGCAACTAGAAGTCAAGAGACTACTCTTCGATAGCAAATTAGGAGAAATGCAAATATAACCTTGCTGGAAACTACTTAGAAGTACTCTGATGAACACTAAAATAAACCTAGTTTAAACTAAATTTGTGATTAATTCCCAGTAGAAAGGCAGTAAAACACGATTTAAGTTAAGCTGTTCCTCTTATATTAAGTTTAGTAATTATTAATATTGTTCTGAAATTATTTTCTTGTGGTATCTTAATGCAATTACTACTTTTAGTGGGAATAAGTCACAATTTAAGTTTAAAGTAAGTTTGTTTTTGATGTTTTGATTTTCACTTCGAACATAAAGTAACTTCATAAGTAACACTATTTTACTATTTGTCCAAGTAATTTGGACTAAATCGTAATATTTTGGCATGTAAATCGTGAAGACAAAATATTTATACCTATTTTTGAAACATTTTGTGTATATTATTTAAATGTAGCTTTGTTTTACAAAAAAATATTTAATAATATATACTGACCTGTTCAACTATCGAAGCGAGTCTTCCTAGTGCTAATCCGTGCTCATCTTCTCTGGTGATTACTGCACTTCCAAGTTTTACCACCAATCTCCTTGCATACTTTAGTTGACTCCTGTCAATAAAACTACTTGGCTTCCGATCCACTAATCCCTTCTTTTCGAAGGCAGCCTGGAAAAACATATTGTTTTTAATCATAGTTATTAGTGTGATCAGCACACTGTACAGTTGTGTATTTAATAATAAAATACTAACAATACACTTGATTTCCAGATAGAACATATGTTAAGGATTAATAAGAAGCCTTGAAATGTTTTTACTAATATAGAAGCTAATTATAAAATAAGTAATTTATTTTGTTATATATTTATTTCTTAAAATTTCTAGTTTCAAGTACATTAGAACATCTTTGTCCTTAAATAATAATGTATTAGGAATCGCAGTTAAATGAATCATTTTCTCCACGATCACTACTAAATGTAATGATTCCGCAATCATTTTTAATACTAGATGGTAAAAATTCTCACTCTTGAATGTTAGAATATATTTCGGAAATACTTTCTTCTCTAATGGCTTACATGTATTTTTACATATTGCCATGGATTTCAAAACTGTCAACGTTAAATGTAAATGTAACTTAAAAATGAAGAAATATGTATGAAAAACATTTTGCACTGTTTCACACTTTTTCTGAATGTTTTAATTATAAACTATTTGACTAAAAAATCAAAATCTTTATAAAATAAAATGTTAAGCAATTCGGCTAAGGTGTATTTATAGTACGACAAGAAATTCAAAGGAAATCAAAATAATATATGTTATTTATGGTTGTAATATCACAATATTACAACCATACATTTAAATAGGTAATATATGCAGTTCTTTACAGTGACCCATTTGTAATAACAGGCGTATTCAAAATGCGTTTGAACAAATTCAAATTTGATCATCACAATTTATTCGAATCATTAATTCTTTACATTTATCGTCGAACTCATATCTGATAGTTCTGTTTTCTGCGGTACCAAAACAATGCGGCATTTTGCAGAAAACCAGTATCGTTGCTAATTAGACGCTGGTATTTACCTGCCAATCCTATCGACAGACCTTTAACAAAAGTATTCCAAGCATTTATTACTGTTTTATAATGCCAAACTTCGACAACTTTATGTCAGGCGTTATCTTCTCATTTTTCAACAACCAGTCTACCGCCTTGAGGTCTTGATGTTGTTTCTTTACACGGGTTCTGATAGTTGCTTTATAAGTAACTTTATTGGGGATACGGGTAAGGATCATGTTACTGGGATTAAGTACATTTAAGCCTGCGCCATAGGCCCTCCAAATTTAACACATCTCAGTAGTAAATTTTTTGATGATACCAATGGTGTTTTATGATATTGCAGAACTGCTTGACCCTGATCTAGTTGAGTGCCAGGTGGTATATATATGTATATATATATATATATATATATATATATATATATTATATATATATATATATATATATATAAGTTATGATTTTTGAGGATGCAGTCAGTTTATTTGGCCCACAAGACAAAGAAAACTCTTTGACTTACTGTCAAGCTTTCGAATTTTATTTAATTCTTTTTCAAGACACCTATAAAAAGAAATATAAATTAACTAGTTAAAATTGTTAATTGTCTTACTTACTAGTCGTGAGATTACAGTTGTTAATATTGTACTCTACAAAACAAACCATTATAAATATAGTAAATTTTTTTAATAAAAATAACTATATTGTCACCATACATGTCATTGTCATGGTTTGATTAATGGACATATATGAATGAAAATACAGTTATTTTATGCGGAAAGCAAAACCAGTAACAATAGTTTTTATTATAATTTATTTAATTGTCTAAAAAAAATAAAAAATTATTCCAGTCAGCAGTTTGGCTTAAGCACATATGTGCTTAAACTTATATTTCTTTTTATAGATGTCTTGAAAAAGAATTAAATAAAATTCGAAAGCTTGACAGTAAGTCAAATAAACTGACTGCATCCTCAAAAATCATAACTTATATTTAAATCAACAGTCAAGAATACCACCATCTTATATATATAATATATATATATATATATATATATATATATATATATATATATGTTGTTATGATATGTAAAATCGAGAAAAATATTGGTTTGATTAAATTATTTCAAAGTTGAAAAACATTAAAATAATTCAGATAAGTAGGATAATAACCAACAAACATTTCGAAGAAAGAAAGTTTTTAAATTTTTGGATTACCTGTATTAAACAAAATGTAAGCTATGCATAAATTATTTCCTTTGTTATACTATACTTGAGTGACCCGCATAATTTAAGTGAAATCCAAAGAACAATTGAACCGGGTTTTCCAAATACATTAACGCAGCGATTAAAGACAATAGAAGAGGTTTTTAGAAAGAGGTTTTTGTTAGTTTTTAAGAATTGTAGAAAAATATTATTTGTAAATAAGTTTTAGGAAATTTTATAATTATAGGTAAAAAGTTGTTTGTTATCAAAATGAAAAAATGGGGAAATTGTGACGAGTTTGATTGGCGGAGATTGAAAAAGGTGGGATAGGTATGTAGGAATGAAAGTTTAGCTAGATTTCGGAGTGAGGAAAGATAGTTAGTTGGTTTCCAAGGGTGCAAGGCGAACGGCCGTTGTTCTCGGGTAGTTTCCCAGAGGTAGGAAGCAGTAGCAGTGAAAGTTTGTGAGTTTTCGTGTAGTTAGTGTATCTGACAGAAGCTGATCCAGTAAAATATTGTAAGTCATATTTTTCTACTTATATTCCAAGAGTCACTGTTCAGGCCAACGAGAGATTCAGTTTATCGTAAAGAAAAGATATTCCAAGAGTCATTTTTCACTCAGGCCAACGAGAGATTCAGTTTATTGAGAGAAGAAGAAGCTAGCATAATTTGAACGATTCGTGCATTTGAAGGAGATCATTAAGGACGAGATACTTGCAATAATTTATTGTAAGATTGCTGATTACTTAGGGAGCGGCCACGAGTAAATAGTATAGTCTACAAATAACAAGGATTTGGACCACTCATCATCAGAGAGAGATAGTTTTGTTTTCTGCAGTTTTTCTTTCATTGATAACACAATTTTTTACACTTAATTTAGAAAGGATATAAATATTTTGATTAGGAGATTTAGAGTAATACTTGGATTTTGAGATTTCAACTAATATTATTTGTACCATTAATTTTGATTGTTCACGTACGTAGAACAAAATGTTGAGAATTATTATATGAGATTTTGTTTATTGAAAACTTTTGAGTGTGAATTATTTCATTATTTTTATTTCAATATATAGTGTTAGATCATATGTGTTTTTTATCATTCCGGTATTCTTTGGACCTTACCTTTCACATGTAATAGCATAGATATTGAAGCACGAATTTAACCCTGAGATAAAAGAATTAAAAATTGTGATAGAGTCATAATCATATCACCCAATATAAGGTTGAATGTTCGAATAAATGAACTTTGATGGTACACAAGGCAAATATCGAACACAGTATTTAATTAAATCTTGCCCAAGTACTTTCGATCACAAGATCATCCTCAGGGGCATCTGAAATAAGCCAAGAAACGTTTTTTAAAAAAGAAATTTTAATTCACTTGGATAAAAACTCCAAGTTTGTAGTTGAAAAAAGTTTTTTATGTGATCAACGTTTATAGACTTACTTCGTCAATTGTGGCCTATCCAGCAATAACCGAATGTCATACATGTAAACTGGGACATAACAAATACATACACTAAAGACAAACAAACACTTTAAAATTTAAATTGGAGAAGCTACATTTTTATATTATAGAAGCCGGAGACAGAATGGCTCCCAGCCTGGCGGAGGCGGAAATATTGGGGTGACATGTGACAAATGACAGCTTGTGAAGGGCAGTTACAAGTGATCTGCGCCTTTCAAGATTCTATGAAACTAGGTATTGACCAAAGGTCCAACTGACACCACTATAGGAAATCAACTGAAGAAATATAAAATTATATCTAATATTGTTATGTAGATTGAATAATCCAGATCTCACACTCAAACCTGTTTATAATAATTAGGATGTTAGTTTGAGAGAAATTGAAGTTGACATAAAGTATGAATGTAAGAAATAGACTAAACAATATATTAGACAGTGGATAGTTGACTACAATAAAATGGTCTACTAAGCGCTATCAGTACTGTAAAAAGAAAAAGAAAATCTGAATATTCAATTGAATTGCTAAAAATTAAAATCAAAATTAAAAGCAAAATATATAAATGGGTTGTAATCCAAGTAGTTCAGTTGAATCCACAGTCAATGGAAGAACTTTCAAATTAATATGTAAATACTCAGTGCATGAAGTCTAAACAGTCGAGCTGGGCCCTCTACGAGGTGGAGCTGTAATAAAGTTTTTAAATATAGGATTAAATTTAGTACAATTTAAATTAATTTGAGTATTAAGACAGTGAGAGTTTTCATTTGTTTCCCTTGTAATCTCCAAATCTTCCAATAAATCCAACTCAAGATAGTTTTTCTTTCTACTGATGTCATGTAAGATGGATGAACCAGAATTGATGTTAAAATTGTGGTTGCTGGATACTAAGTGTTGACCAAAACTTGAAGAGTTTGGTCTTTTCAAATGTTCAGAGACTCTAGTGGATAACTTTCTGATGGTTCTACCTACATAAGAGGCATCACAATCATCACATTTTAATTTGTAAATACCACTTTTATCAAGTGTATTCATCCTATCTTTGGTATTGATTAAGAAGGAGCCTAGAGTGTTATGTGATTTAAACGAGATTTTGATGTTATCAATTGTAGAAGTAAAAAGTTTAGATATTTTATTGGAAATGCTGCTAATATAAGTGAAGGAGAAATATCTGATGTTATCTGAAACATTAGGTTGAAAAGACTGTGATGAATATGCAAGCTTTTCTGCAATTTTTAGTTTAGCTCTATTTAGAAGTTTGTATATAATGTTAGGATCATAGCCATTATTGACAGCAATCTGTTTAAGAGTATTGAGTTCTGTATTAAAATTATCATCAGAAAGAGGAAATTTAAGTAATTGATGAATGTAACTGTTGAAAGCAGCCATTTTATGCTGAGTAGGGTGGTTAGACGTTTCATGTATAGCGTGATCTGTTTGGGTGGGTTTTCT